GACTGCAGCATCACACCCCAACGAGCCACTTTATTCCACTGCCCTGCTTGTAAGTCAGACAGCAGTGGATCTGAGTCCCAGTGGGCTGTGGCCTGTTTTAATCTAGCAAACTGAACTGGAAACAAAACATTCTCCCAGGGTAAGCATGTCCTACTCTGAAGCAGCCATAGCATTTTAAACCATAAAATACGAATTTTAAACCATAAAAAGTGAATTCTGCTTCCTCAGCCAGGGAAGCCTTTACAAATAGAACTACTTTCTGTACCTGGTTGGGTAAACACCTGCAAACCAAATCACCAAAAAGGGCTGTCTCAAACTGGGACAAGGTGCTGTAAAATCTGCACCTCCACTTATAACTTTCATTAAAAAGTGTCTTAATTGCTGCATTTACCACAGTTTTCCTTGGCTGCCCCTAATGAGAAGCTGATCTCCCTGCCCTGATACTCTGCACCAGGGATAATTAACACTCCTCTACTAACTACTTGCTAAAGGAAGGTCATTAGCATTCTTGCTGCTTAAGTAGCTCATTAGATCTAGTTTATCAGCCTTCTCACATAGGAGAGTTGGGGAAGGGAGAAAAGTGAAGGGTGAAAGGCTCCCACAGCCCAGCTGCCAAACTGGAATTCCATCCTGGAGCAGCTGGAGGTGGTGTCCCTCCAGTAAAACTGAAACAGCAGGAGCCAAGGAGGTCAGGACAGGTGGGAAGCACCATCACAGGAGCCCAGGGAGCAGCTTTTAGCCCATCAAAAGGTGGAGGAGAGCTGATCTCTGGCACTTTAAAACACCCTCCTCACAGGCTGATGTTGCCAGGTGACAAGTGGATACAGATAATTCCTATCCCTAGACCTGATGGATGGTTGCACAGAGAAGATGAGAGAGAATTTAAGCAGACAGGAGAGCCAAGAGCACCAGGGCAGTGAGGACAGTGTGTGCCCTGGCAGTGTAGAGAGAGCAGTGCCTGCAGCAGGTGCCCATTTCTCATCACAGCCACAGGCAAGGCAAGGGTGGAAGAGGAAAGCACTGCTGTGCTCAGGTTGGAAGCAAATGATGAATTTGGAGGAAGGAAAAAAAAAAAAGCCTCAGGCCACAGCCTCGAAATAAAAAACAAACTCTGCCTGTGCTCAGTGTTCCTGAAGGAAAAGAGAGTGTCAGGGAGTGGAGCAGCAGCATGAAGGATAATGCAAACCCTCAGTAGGGACGACAGGTTCATCATCCATGTGCAGGGGTGGACACAGGAGCAGGGACTCACTGGCGTGTCTTACAGTTGTCTAATTTTAAAGGGTACCAAAGATCTAACCAGAATTAGTAACACAAGGAGCTGGAGCTGAGATGCAGCCTGAGAAGGAGGAACTATTTCATGTGTGCTGCTGCCTCCCTCCACTCAGCTCTTCCGAGTCTGAATTGCTGTCCAGGGCACAGAGAGAGCAGCTGAAGACCTTTATCTGATACTCAACACGAGTGGTGGGATTTGGGGCATTTCCCTTAACTCTTCTGTGCATAGAGGGAGCTGTCAAAGACAGAAAAGTACTAGAGATGTTTGGGTGTAATGCCCTGAGCAGGTGAGAGTTCTCACTGACTACCTCAGGAATAAAGCACGGAGTGACAACTCTGAGCTGTGAAACAGAAACTATTTAAACTCTGCAGGTTGGTTAGCACAAAGGTCCTGAAAAAAGCTACAGTTCTCTAGGAATAAAAGCTGTCTCCTCTAATGAAATAGCACAGCAATGCTTATTTTTATTTGTGAATGAACAGGCAGTGCTGATTTTCAGTAACTGATCTCAGTGCTCGGCAGGTAGCAAAGCCTTATGCAAATCACAGCTGCCACCCCAAAGCTGCATTTGCAAAACTCCTTTTTTGTAAGTCACTCTTAAGTCTTTTTACCATAATAAAAGTTATCAATATTTAAAGAGACATGAAAAATAGCCACATATCTGTGCTCCCTGCCTCTTAGCTTTTAATCACCAATGGGTATTTGGGGCTTTGGGTGGTTGTAAGGAGCTGCAGTGTGAGATGGGGAATGGGGGAAGTTACAGAAAGTCTGAGCCTGACTTTGAGCTCTCTGAGCACACCCCAGAGTATGGCAGCAATCACACCCCTGAGGCTGCAGCTGATCAGCACCTTCTGTGCTCCACACCAGGATTTTAAGGTCAGTACAACATTTATTGGCATCCAGCAGAGACCACTGCCTGCCACAGCTCAGTCCTGCAAGGCCACGGGGAACCCACCAAAACCATGTAAGATGCCACCCATATTAGATCAAAACCCTAATCATTCAGTGAGGGAGCTTCAGATGGATTCTATGAGCAGTCAGAAGATACAGCAGAGCTCCAGGATCTCAGGTGAACCCGAGTGATCAGGAGGCTGAGTTTCACCCATTCTGAGCCTGCCTGTCAGTGCAGGTCACAGAATCACACAATGATTTGAGTTGGAAAACATCTCCAAGGTCATCGAGTCCAACCTATGGACAGACACCACCTTGTCAACCAGAGCATGGCACTGAGTGCCACGTCCAGTCTGTCCCTGAACTCCTCCAGGGCCTTCTGCAGCTCCCCTTCAAAACCTCCCCCCTGCTCTGGGCCTGCCTCGTGGTGACTCTGCAGTCACAGCAGTGGGAGCTGATGCCCTCAGGCTGGGGATTCCCGGGACTGTGGGAACTGGGTTCCCAAATTTCCCTTAAAGCTGACAGCAGTAGGTTGCTCAGCCCTCACAGACTGCCTTGAAAATCCTGGTCAGAACCCAAGCCCCTTCTGCTGCCTGCCCAGGTGAGGTTTCAATCCCTCAGGATGGTCTCCATCCTGCACTGCAGCTGGACAATTCCAGTGGCTGGACAAATCCAGCTGATTCCTGGCCTTAGCTCTGCTGGAGAAGTTGGCTGTTTGTCCTTTCACTTTAACCAGTATTTGTTTCCCTGGGCCATGTGGAAGCTGCAGTGGACCTTTCAGTCCTTGTAGCAGAGGGAGGATGAGTCCAGCCAGTGCAGAGGCCACACAAATGGATGCTGGATCCTTCCATGAAATAGTGCTTCACTCCTGTTCTCCTGCCCCAGAGCCCTGTGCTTGAGGAGTCTCCTCTCAAATCACAACTGCCCAACAATTACAGCATTAAAAAAGGATAATTCAATATAACAATTAATATTTTCCCAGCCTAAAGAAAGCCTAAGGCAGCCATTAAACTGGGGTTGTGCATGTCAGCCAGGCATCCTTAAGTAACACAACTTGCTTGATCTCTGAATACCAGAAGGGCAAGGCACATTATTTCTACAACCAAAGACCTTTTTTTTTTTAATCTATGACACTAAAGAGCCTTAGGCAACTTTCAAGATTAATTGCAGTCATTCAGGGTCCTCGATATTCCTCCTGGACATCCCTTTTACGTAAGAAAAAGGATGAACATGCAGCAGAGTCACCTGAGGCAGCCTGGCCTGCCCCAGCCCTGCCCTCATCCCCAGCCTTCAAAGGTCCCTGCCCTGCTTGTTTCATCCTCCTCCTCCACATTCCCCACTCTTCCAGCAATTCCTTTGTTCTTGCCACCTTCAAATAATTTCTAAAATAAGATCCCTTCTCCCTGGGTACCCAGAACACCGAAGTAAATAAAGAGTAAGCTAAATTGTGCATTTTTATTCTCTTGAGACATTTCTCATTTCTTTGGTCTTTTCAGCCTTATCTCTATCTGCCTTTTCATGTGTGTTCCACAGGGCTACACAGCAGCTACAGCATTGTGGGGAGCTGCCATTCCAGAGTAAATATTTATGTATATTTATATGGATGTACTCACAAAATTAAATATATATATAAATACGTATGTATAGGTGCACACACCGGTGTCAACAGGATGAATCGATGAGAAATGATGGTTTTAAAAACTAAAAAAGCCCCCCAGCACCAAGCAGGTGTGTCACACAGTCCTGAGCTGGAGGAGCACACCAAAGCCCTGTCTCTCAGGTGATGGGACCAGTGAAGATCCCAGTGACATCACTGGAAAACAGTGGTACCTTCAACACACCCTGAGCATCACTCAGGGATTTGTGTGGAAGCTGCTGTATTTTATGAATGATGATCTGTGATCTCTCATTCTCAATGCATCAAACTCTGCAGAAGGGAAAAGAAATTTCCCTGGTATATCTAGATTTTTTTGTTCCCTCATTAAATTTCCCAGGCCTTACATTTTCAACTGTGATGCCAGATTTTGGAGCTGGGTCTTTTGTTGCACTCTGCACCAGGATAATGGTGGCATAGGAAGGAAGATTCCCAGACAGATCAAGGCCAATCACTGCAGCAGTCACAGAAGGGAACACCCCAGAAGGAACACTAATAAAACCCCCAAAACACACACATCCCTCCTGCCATGGATTTTACACCATCACTGGGAGGTTCAGGTTGGATCTCAGGACAAGGTTCTTCCCCCAGAGGGTGGTTGGGCACTGAACAGGCTCCCCAGGGCAGTGGGCACAGCACCAAGGCTGCCAGAGCTCAAGGAATGTTTGAACAACACTCTTGGGGACAGGGTGGGATTGCTGGGGGTGTCCTGTGGATGTTAATGATGCCTATAGTCCCTTCCACCTCAGGATATTCTGTAATTCTATGATTTATCATCATACAAACCAGGTACAAAATATCAGCAGGGCAGGACAGCTGCATGTTGCTGCCCATAAGTAGTTATTTGATTTAGGGGATCAGATTAACAGTTACACACACACACGACTCTCACCCAGCCTCTTGTCCACACCACAGAAGCAACACTCTCTCTTTACAGAGCTGTCTATAAGCTTTATAAATGCCTGAGGCTAAAAAGATGTAGAAGCTCATTTCATCCCCCCAAGTGGCCCTCCCAGGTTCGAGCTGCAGCACGTGAAACAGCTGCACTGCTCTGCACCACTTCCCATTCTGCTCACAGGCACAGCCCTTCCCAGCAGGGTCTAACCTGGCACTTGAGAGGAGCAGTTAGTAAACAGAAGCAAACCCGGGCAGGCAGCCCTGCCAGAGCCTGCTGTGAGCACTTACAAATCCAATGAGATAAGGACTGCCAGCATCTCCCAGGAGGTGTGAAGTGAAACTCTGCAAGGCCACTGCGGTCGCCCGGCGTGTCGGGATCACCACGTACTGCAAAGGAGGGGAAGAAACAAAAAGAGATAAGGGAAGTGAAGTAAGAACCTGCCCAGCTGTGCTGCACTGCTCAGTTTATACCCGGGGCAGGACAGAGTGAACCAGCTGCTCCAGATGCTGGTGGCAGACAGAGCCACTCCACGGGAACTGGGAAGCTCAGATTCCCTGCCTGGCTCTGGAGTTCTGCTGATGGCAGGTGTTGAGGGAAGGAAGCTCTGTCCAGTCCTCTCAGCAGCCCTTTGCCCAGGACACATTCTGCTATTGCTCCTCAGCCTGTATTTTGCTTTGCTGATGGAGAGAGTGAAGCTTGAGGTTGCTCAGCACCACCAGCCTTCAAACAAGGACTGTGCTGTAACCTGGGATATTGGCTTTATTCACTTTGTATTGTATGTTCATACTGTACTCATACTGTATATTGTATTTATGTTACAAAGTGATCATTTTGTTTCCTAAACCATCAGCAATCCACATCAGTATGAAAGGTCACATCCTCCCTTCCCACTCCACCTCCAGCCACTTTGTATTTCCCTCAAAAATTTGTGATTCCACTTGTGGGAAGCGACAAAGTCACGTTAGGAAAATTTTCCATATCCAAGATACTGTAGTTTGGTCTCCACTCCTCTAATAGGACGTGACACCCTTAGGCAGGTCATGCAGAATCAGTCAGACTACACAGGAGCAGTGGAAAACACAAATTACTTCCCCATGAAGGGACCAGAGCTCACAGAAAACAGAGCCCTAACCAGGGAAAGGGATGAAAGTTTAAAAAAAAAAAAAAGGCAACTCCCTGTCCTTAATTTGGAATGTCCTTAATTTGGAATGACCTTAATTTCATAACACACCTCTAGAAGCAGAAAAAAAGTAATTGTCTCCTGCATAAATTGTGAAAGAAGCTGGCTAAGGACATCTGCATCGAGTCCACAAATCCCAGTTTATAAATTGATCTTGTCTTGATTTAAAGGCTGGAAGTAATGAAGAATTCAATAGGTCTCTAAATCCAAGTGAGCTTTGTTTCTGCCTCTAAGCACTGAACCTCACTGTGCCTTTTCCTGTGGCTCTGGAGAGCCATGTGCCCTGCCAGGAATGACTCTTGTTCAGCTATTTGTGGACCATCATCCCTTTTATTTGTCCACTTTCTCTCTGATGGGCTGCCTTCAGTCTTTCTTTAGAAGCTGTGCCTTGCCAGGGCTTCAACTCATCCTTGCAATCCTTTCCTGCAGTCATTCATTAATTAAATGTGACATTTAGGACCGGCCAGAGCTACAGAGAGAGAGATCCATTCCCTGAGCAGGAGAGCTCACTCAGGGCAGGGGATGGGAAGCACCTTCCAGTGCTTTGACAGCTCCTCTTAAGGGAAGGGGATCTGCCCTGTCTGCAGGGGAAAGAATGAGCCATAAAAACCAGCAAGAAAAGAAAGAGCACAGAGAAAACCCACCCTAGAAGAGAACTGCTACCTGTTTAGAATGACCACCTCGTTCCAAGCACAGACAGTTACGAATGATGGGTAAAATTAGATTAAATGCTTTTCCTTAGGGTTTTGCCACATGCTTTCAGAGTGACCTGCCAGTTCTTTCATCCCTGCTTTGACAAAGCTGCAAATGCACACTGCTAATGCACTTTGATGCCATGTATTAAACAGGCACCCTGTTAAACTCCTGTTGTGCAATAAAAGAGCAGAAGATGTTCAGATCCACAGCAGCCACCCAGCTGGGGATGTCAGACCCTGTCCTCCTTTTGCATCCAGGAGCTCAGAACACGGCTCAGAGAAAGAAATCCCGAGAGGAAAATTAGCTCCAGACTTTATTGGAGACACAAAAGCCTGCTGAAGGTCAGGCTGTGAACAGTAGGAGAGCCCCACAATTCATTCCCACTCCCCAAAGAGGCAGGAAAATCGGTGCAAACCGGAGAGATTAGACAGAAGAAAAGGAAAAATTAAGAGTGAGTTATTGTTGTTCTTCCCACCTGGCCCCAGTTCCCACAGGGACAATGGAGAAATATTCTGGAAAGGCTGTCTGGGAAAAGGCATCTGAGAAGATACAGTGAAATTCTGCCTAACTGAAGAGTCCAGAGCTGTGTGTGCATCTGTGAAACAGGGGATTTTAGCCCTAAAGCATTTCTCTTTCTGTAAAGTTTACATCAGCAAACCTGGAGAAGAAAGCCTGCCTGGCCCTGTATTATATCAATTTTCTTAGCAAAAGGGCAAAGGAAATGGCACATTTATTAAAAATTTACCATTTTCAGGGAGTGGCAGTGAATTGGTGCCAGTTAGAGGAAGAAATCTGAATGATACCTGTATCATATGTCTGTGTGCACATATATCCACACATATATATATTTATACACACAAATACACACTCACACTTACATTAGACATAATATTGCATGTGTAGCTGTATTATGCAGACATAATTTGGCAAGCAGCAGTACAATTTCCAGCAAGTTTTCAGTGTGCTTAGCTGAAGAAGTTATTGATAGCTGAAACAATGTGAAGTGCCAAAACTTATTAAATTTAGCCTGGAATTCAAGAGACAAACAGCCCAGTCAAACCTAAAACCCAACGTGTGGCAAGCCAATGAACACAAGACTTTTTGTCCTGCTCGAAAAAGATACTGGAAGTTAAAAAAACAAAGCTTAAACCAGCATCTCCAAAACACCAAAAATACTCCACCCTATCCCTGCTTAAAAAGCATTTTCTCCTGATGGACAGGAAGCAGTTGGTAGCAAACATTGTCTACTCTTCTAGGCAGACAGCAGTAAATTACAGCCCTAAATGGGCATTTTGATACTAAAATAGACCTAAATTCAAACCATCCATGGCCTGGTTTGGACATCCCACAGAAACTGGAGGTGGGAGAGCCACAGCAGCCAAGGCTGTGGGATCGGCCTGGCTCATCCCTGATCCCAGGTTCAGAGGCAGGCAGCACAGAGGATGGGCAGGGAGGCTGAGCAAGCAGCTTTGGAAACCTCTGCTCTTTAAATAGAGGTTCAGAAAGGCCATGGATTGCTGCTGACATCTCCTTCCTGGGATGGAAGCAGGAAGCTGGTCTGAAATAAGTTAACTGGGAAAGCCAACAGGAGATCACCCTTCTCCCAGAAAAAGGCCACGTGCCAGAGAGGTGAGTTCTGGTGTTTATGCCTAAGCTTTGATAGAAACTCTACTCTTTAAAGCACTTTCTGGGGCAGGACAATTCGTACTTTCAGCACTGAAGGCAAAGAAAACACACACTAACCCTGTTCCAGCCACTGCCCGAGCCTGGGAATAGCCCAGGTGTCCCTGTTGTACCTGTGTTCAGGCTGGGATCCAGAGACAGCAGCCTCAGACAAAAACCAGGCAGCCACTGTCTAATAAAATACTCTTAAATGAAGTAAAAGGAGGCTGACCTGGTCTCCAGCTCCCACACACCATGGAGCAGTGCAGCACCCCCTCCTGCAGCCCTTGGCTGGTTTGGAATGGGCTGTACCCTCATTCCCAGGCACTTCTCATCCTGCCTTCAAATCCAACCCCAACACTCTGGGCACTGCTGAGTGGAGGCACTGAGAGAAGCACCAGCAAGAGGTTCTGGAAATGCAATTTATCTTCAGCTTTAAAAATAGGGCAGCATTTTGGACTAAATAAATAACTGGGGTTTATTTATAGGGAAGGTAATCAGGACAAAAGCAACATTCCTCCATGCCCATGGCACAGCTGAGCAGCAGTCTGTGCCTGTTTCCAGCCTAAAGGAAGACTCTGACTCTACAGCAAAACATCAGAGCAGCTCCTCCACAGCAGGTCACGACCATGTAAAAAGAACTAATGCTTTAAAAGAAAACAGAAATACACAGAGCAATTTCATTGCGTGAGTGTCAGGACTGTGCATAAACTGGGGGATGGCTTTTCTCAGCAAAGACCTAAAGAGGTTGTGATGGAAATAGATAAGGGCCTTTACATTGCTCTTACACAGAAATGCCACCAAGCCTCTGTCCATCATCTTTATTTTTGAGATGTGCTGTGGAGGGAAACCCCCACTACCAGGACCAGATTCCACCAAGTCCAAAGCACTCCCCACCCCTCAGCCTGCGACACACTCGCCTGCTGCACTGAAGCTCATCCATTATTGCTGTTACAAGGCAGTTTTAATGCTACTTTGGGGTTCTGGTAATTTTAAGGCCAATTTGCAGAGATGGCTGATGGAACCTGTTTCATAATTAGCATGCTCCACACAAAACATCCCCCCTTTCCCCGAGCACCGTCTGAGCATGTGCCTGGGAGGAGATATGGAGAGCTGTGCTCAGGAGAATACGGCCTGTTTTGTACAAATTTGCATTTGGAACAAATATCAGCCTTTCAAAATCTCAGGCAGTGCAGAACATTCTGCAGCACTGACAGTTTATCAGAGCCAGCACTTGGCACCTTGGACTGCAGACAAGACAAGGAGCCACACGACGACCCTTCCACGGGCAGGCACAGCAGATGCAAGGGAAGCACGAAGCCAGGGAGAGCCAACAATTAAACTGGAAGATAATAAGCAAACATCCTTGTTTTGCCATGGAAATTAAACTTGTAAAACCTCTGGAGGTGCTTAACAACCTGCCCGATAGGGTTCTTAAGCAGTCATGAGATCTGTAAATCTTGGGAGAGCTGTGAGGAATCATTTGGGATGCAGTTTCCAAAAAGCCTCACTCCTGGCATAATGAGATCAGCAGGAACAGTGTTCAGCCAGTATTGAGAGCTTTTATCCATGAAAACAGGGTAATATTTATGTATAGGATGAAAGTGTTGTTAAGCTCACGCTAATAATGCTTTTAAACTCCTTCCCAGCCCCAGGCAAGAACAGCACACTTCTGATTACACCAAATAAATAGTAATCAGTAGAAATTAATTTGCCAAACATTTAAAGTGCATCTTGCTAAAGCATATCCACACCTTCCTCTGGCAAGGACTTCCCACAAAGCTGTCTGTCAAAGGTGGTTACAGCCCTGGCTCTCACCCAGTGACAGCCTAAACACCCTCTCAACCCCCCCTGGGTGATCCCACTGCATTCAGCCTGTCTGGTTACAGCCCTGCACTCATCTAAATGATGTTTACATTTATTCCTTCAACACTTTCACAGGTCCACTGGTGCTGTTAGTGCCCCAAGCTGAGCATTATATATGACACTCAGTTCAGTTTTCTAAACAGACCAGAGAACAGTGAGCTGAAGAGTTGGCAGCAATTACCAAAATCCGGTTTTTAACAGGGTTTTAATTTCTTTCCTTTGTTTTGGAAAATGGAACTATTGCTCCCAATCATTTCTTATGGAGTTCTTTTGCACTAAAGCACAGTAAATAACAGCAAATGCATCCCTACAAAATGCAACCGACTATGGGGTGCTGGTAAAGCAGATGGCAGACCCTATAAAAACTGTTAAAAAGCCATGGGATACTGAAGTCACATTGAAATCAACACAAAAAGATCTGAGTAATTAAAACAGGACAATGATCCAGCCCTAATACCCTTGATATAACAGAGCAGTTGGTTGAAAAATATATTCTGGGATTAGCCTGAGACAACAGAGGCCACATTTCAGGTCTCTCTCTCCGGCACAGACTTTCTGGAGGACCTTGAACACGTCCGACAGGACCCTCCCTCTGAGCAGAGACACCACCCCAGCTGCTCTGAGAGCTGCAGATGTGCTGGTGGCTGAGCCCTTACCTGAGCCAGCCAATGCTAGTGAGGGTACAGAGAGCTGCCATTTAAACCCACCCACGAATTCTGAGCGGAGAGAACTGGGATCGCTCCCGGGACCATCCCTGGCAGGAGGCAGGAATGAGCAACTACACACACTGCACTATAATTTCTTCCTCAGCACAGCTGGTCTGGAGGCTGCACATCTGTCCAAGTGTTGAGATATCACTGCATAAATGGCCAGAGCAGCCCTGAGCTCAGCAGGAGCTGCAAACCCCACGGAAGCACCGGGAAGCTCCGCTCAGAGCTCTGTCACAGCACATGGACCGGCAGGACAGAGGAACCTCGGGAATTAAAAGCCCTCCAGTGCTACCAAAGTACCCTGAAACCTTCATTTCTCCGTGTTTACTCACATCTGAGAGCAGTGGAATTAACCCCCCACCGCCCCCAGCGTTCCCCTCACAAACGAGTTAAAGATGGAAAGCTGATCCCTGATGGCAACTGCTGAGCTGCTTCAACACACAAACAAACCCTGAACTCCAGCACAAACACTGCTAAAGCAGAGGCTTGAAGTTCTTTGCTGAATCAATACATCAACACCATTATCTTTCCATCTAGGAGTACCCAGCCTGATTGTTTCCTCCTTGATGTTTGCATAACCAACAAATACAAGTCAAGGCAGTTTGCCGTTGATGCCAGACTGATTGTATTTTTAGTTCTGGCAAAGGACCTCGGGCAAGTCCTGTAATGGTTCTGTGCCTTAGTGCCTTTCTTTTTCATACAATAAGCAACACCTCCTTCACAACAGGGTTTCAACATGTGATATTTGATGGGCTCTGTGCAGCTCTGATGAAGCCTCTACAAAACACACAAGACTCTTGAACAAATGTCCACACTATTTCATGTGAAAACGGGGCTGCTGAGGTCAACTTGCTGATCAGAAAGACTTAAAAAGCTCTGTAGTGGAGAAAGAATCAAAAATCAAAGACATGAGGTGAAAAGTCCCTGACAGTTTCCTCTTGGATAAAGTGGACACGATCCAAAAATTCTTTATACTTTCTTTTCCTCTCTGCTCTCCCAGAGGTGGGTTTCTATTGTGGATGTGTTGAATGGTAGGTAGATGGGCTGCCTTTGTGGTCAGAGAAGGGAGGGAGGGAGGGAAGGGTTTCCTATGGCAGAACAAAGCTGAGTTATTGATAACAAAATCCATGAATGTGCTGACTGTTAGGAAATTCTGGCTGAATTCTGTGCACAAACACTTCAAATTTGGGGAAATTATTTGAATTCAGAAATGTTGTCCTTTCTGGACATCTCCTCTCCCTGGTGCTCAGAACAAAGGACAAGAAGAATCTTTTTTCTATCTCTCTCTCTATATGTCACTTAGTAACAAAAAAACCAGAATAGGCTGAAGCAGGATTTGGAAGAAATTGTGAATTTCAGGTTGTTCTTGCAAGCTCATAAACTGTTCTGAACACCAAAAGATGCTGTTCCAAAGTGCACTCACCATCAGAATGTCTGCTGTGATAGCCCAGTTTGAAAACAGAAGAGTTTCTCCGATAAAAATGCAAATCTGTTGTAACAAAACACACAAAAAGGAGAAGATTTATTCACTTGACATTCAAAGGGAAAATAACCTGTCTCAAACTTGCCTTTGTTGCTTATTTGTCTCTTACCTACACAACACACTCCTTGTTCCTGCTGTGGTTTATCCTGAATATTAGCAAACCATAGATTTGTATCGGAGCTCTAGAGGGTTGGCCTGCAATTCTGTTAGTGTAAACTAACCAAGTTTATGAACTACAGAGCAGCTAAAACAAAGGCTGACATATTTGGTTATGGTAGAACATGAGAAAGCAGAAAGAAGAGACAGCTTCCATACCTACAATCACAATTGTTGAGGTTGGAAAAGGCCTTCAAGACCATCAAGTCCAACTTGCACCATTCTGTTCCAAAAAGCCAGTCAGAAAAGGCAAGAAGGCCCCAGCTCCCCAGAGCACAGACATTTTCATCACCAGGAATGTTAACCCAGTTATGTGTTGAACTCTGTAGCACATCAGATGAGGTGGAGGATCCCTTCCCTCCCCAGTGGCACAGCATGGGTGACATCTGTGTACAGCCAAGACAGGAATTAAGTATGGGCTTGGCAACATCAGTGCCTTGGGGAGAAATATAACCCCTGGCTCTTTGGAGATGGTCAGCAAGAGACATTAAAAGCCAAGGAACTGCAAGATGGCATGATGTGGCCACTGCCACTGTCTTTCCCACACACCAGCTGAGGTTCCCTAAACCCCTCAGACCATCATGTCACTGCCAGGAATAATTTGCTTTATTTAGCAAGCCTTACACACCAACCTACAGAAGCTTCCTCTATTTGTTTCTAAAATTGCCTTTGTTTCCCACACATTCTCCCTCCCTATCCCCTCTCTCTGTGACTGGATCTGCTTCCTCTGTGATGGTGTGGGCAAGGAAATCTCCATTCCCACCTTCCCACTGTCCACTGGTCTGCCCTGAACTTGGAAATGCCAACTGCCAAGCTCAGGACACAGATCCGCTGAACCAAGGTGCTGAGAGGAGCTGGAGCCACATGTCCCACAGCAAGGACTTCTCAGGGCCCCAGGTGGGCTCTCAGACCTGCTCTGAAATGTGTCCTGCCACAGTTTTGCTGCTGCTGGGGGTTCTGTGGCTGGATGGATCAAATTGAGCTTGGCAAAGATGGGATCACACTTCCAAATGCAGCATCAACAAGCCCTGCCTGCTCATACACATTGCAAACAGGCAACTGCTTGCCTTGAGGTTGAATGAAGTGCACACATGTATGAATTGTTACAGGCAGCAAGGACTTGCCCCTTGTGCAGGAATTCACTTGAATTCCTATAAATCCTATATTCCTATGAAGTCCTATATTCCTATCAAGTCCTATAAATAAATCACTGAAATGCTCCAGACTTCAGAGTGCACCAGCTCTCAGTGGTTGAATGTGTTATTTCACCCATTCCATGAACCATGTGCTTGATGTGTGGCTACTGGTAAAAGGAGAAGAGGAACAAGAGGAAGATCAAAAAGCAGGACAAAAGATACTGACATTAAAAAAAATGTCTGTCCTTCAGCTGCTAATGGGGACTTCTAAAAATGAGTTCATGCACTGCAAAGGGCAAATGAGGATATGTGATGTTACTGCTGGAGACAGAACTCTAGGGATGCTTACTGCAAATAGGGCAGCTCCAGAACAGATCAATAGCTCCTGAAAGGCTCATGGGTTTGACTCCTCACACACTTTTTGAAGCCTCACTTTACGCTGAGATTTCAGGTCTGTGAAAATATCCTCTTCTGACTCCAGCTGTGTCATATCTCATCATCTCCCTTTGGTGTCCAGCTGCTCACCTGTGCTGAGCTGGCAGAAGTTATGCCCCCCTTGAGCCATTCTGTTTAAGTGAGTTAGCAAATTCTGATTCCCTAAAATTATAAACAAAGTAGGTTTCAGAGTGGTCCCACCAGCAGCCCTCACAGCAAGACCTAAGCAGGTTATAAACTCCTTCTGTGGTATCTGTCAACATCTTCATTATTTGTATTTTGCTCTGAAATGCTGGGTAAGACACCCTCATATCCTCTTGGATGTGGAGCAATTCCAGCTCCAGCCCAGTGCTGGGCAACACTGATGCCTCAGGAACACGCAGGTCACCAACACCACATCACCAGGAAGTCCCTGGAGCTGAGACTGAGATGCTCCATGGCAAGGTTTTACCCTGGGATTTGCTGTTTCTGCAAGATCATAAAATGTCTTTGAGGAATTGAAATAGATGCTGAAATTGAGGAACTTGGAACAGTGTCAAGGGGAAGGAGAAGCAAAGCATCTCTCTTCAGTCATTTGGAGATTTAAAGGAGTGTAAAATCAGCAGCTGAATTGCCTGAGCTGTGTGAGATGATGATGCCACACAGATAATGGGTTTCCAGAGACAGGTTTGAAAACCAAGGTTCCAAAGAGTACATATTTCAGAAAGAGTGGGACCTACAGATGTGCAAATTGGTGTTTAAGGAGCTGGGTTACAACACACACTGCAAGGAAAACTGAAAAAGAACTGATTGAACTATACAGCCAAGCGAGATTGTAAAAGAGAGAAATACAACTGTGTGGGAACCAAAGTGACACAGAAAACTGGTTTGTTCCACCTTGCCAGCCACTTCTACCACTGCCAATAATTGACTGGATTAATATGAAAAGACTGGATGGAAAAAAGTAATTTGTCTCCCTACTCCAGGTAGGAATGGCTGCTACAGAACTGGAATAGCAGCTGCCCCCAGAGACCAAAAGCACCTGTAAGAGTGAGCAAGGGAGAAAAAGTACATGTGTTCAGGGGAGGAAGAGAGCAGAGAGCATGTAAGGGCCAGGGTGATCATGCTCATGGATGTGCAGGTTTTTTTTCCAGAAATATAAAAACCTATAAATCCAAGAGCTCTGCAGGTTCTTGCTGGAGTGCTGAACACTTCATTTAAGATGATGCTGACATTAAAAACTCTCAGCTGTTAACTAAAGCAGGGAGGGAGATGGTGATCTGGGGGCCATCAGAGCTCAGTGTCAGAGATCACCATCTCATGGGGAGCCATCCAACTGCTTGGAAGGAAGAATTTTAAAGTCAATGAGGGGTCCAAAACCAGTAACTGTCAATTTTGACATGGTGTGATCCATGACAGCAGTCTAAGGACAGGCACACTACAGAAGGTTGGCGAACAGCCCCATGCTGGGGGACAGGTCAGAACACTGCTCTTGCCTTTCACAGACACACAGAATTCAAGGATATAAGTCAGGACAGGAGCTGTGAAGGAAGATATGAGAGATGGGAAAATCTTCCTGTAAGTTTTCCTGTATTGTTTCCAGAAGGAGATTTTATCATGGAGTTTGAGATAAGGAAGGGAAACCCAGTCCACCATTCCATCCACCATAGCTCAGTGTTCCAATTCCAGAGTCAGAGGACAGTCTCTCCTTCCTTTCAGACCAATGAGACTTAAAAGAGAGAGCAAGGAGAAACTTCTACATCAAGCAACCTTGCAAGACAGGTCTCCTAGTGAAATACAAGGGAATTAAACACTGTGGAAGACTGAAACAGCTTTGAATGGCACGGAAAAACAAGGGCTGGTGTTTGAAACTTGCCTTGAAAAGTCAGTTCAACTGATATATGGCACTGCCACGTAACACCTTGTGTTACAAGACACTGGTAGCTCCAACACAGACCTGTCCACCCTTTTTAGGATCAGGTTTCCAGCAGCAGAGAGAGCACATTTAGGGTTACAGACAGGCAGTGTTACCTGCTTCAGCCCAACAGCATCACAAACTGGCTCATGTTCCTCAAACTCCCCCCATATGCAGCTATAACTCCCTTGGCAAATCATCGACTCTTTATTAGATTTACTGCCCATCCATAATAAAATAAATTGTTTTAAAGACTGGTTAAATAATACCATCTATATTTACATGCTTATACAATGCAGAATAGTCACAAGGCTATTAGAAAAAAAAAAAGATAAAAATGAGATCAATGGCCACCTTTTGCTGCACAATTTTTGAAAATAGCATTTCCAGCTTAGAAATGGAGAGGTTTCTGCATAAAGAGACTGAACACCACAAATGAACATGTCATTGGGTCTGAGAAAGGAGAAAATCACACAGAGGTGGAGGGAGCAGGTGAGGGATGTGATGGATCTTCACTCAGAGACAGCTGACAGTGAAATGTTAATGCTTCACCAACCAGTAACAGCCTCTCACAGGTTGTCTGAGGTGATCACTTTTCTGCTGAACCAAAGGTCAGTTCTAGCCCAGGCCACAAACCAGAGACTTGAATATCCTTCTGGCACTTTCTAAACAGCCAGAGTGGACATTCTGGGTCCTGTCTAAGTCATGTTGAACTTTGACTCTTTCTTCTTATGCTTCCTCATAACAATGGCAGCTACTGAAATACTCACCAAATAACCATGGCCAGGCTAGTGCCAGAAACACAGAGAAAGGAGGAACAGCAGTTGGTTGGTTAATTGTAAGTGAATTCTCCTTGTGGGTGGAGTGTGCCCTGCTGTGTGGAGGCTGAGGGAGGGCTTTCAGAAGGGATCCCACCACTCCAAACACCTCCTGCTTTCCCTTCAAAAACTTCTCCTGGGTCCCTGAACCCCAGAACCCTGAACTCTCCCAGAACCCCACAGGTTCTCTCTGTCATATTAAAAGGGAACCCAGGACCTCTTCAGAGACTGGATTTCCACTCCCTACTGGAAGCAAGATTTTAACCTGAGGCTGGATTATTACAGTTGAGCTTTTCCTTTTCCCTTCAGTCTAAAAGAGGGTTGATTTAGATTAGATATAAGGAAGGAGCTTTTTACAAAGGAGGTGGTAAAGCACTGGCACAGGTTGCCCAGGGAAGCTGTTGCTGCCTCATCCCTGGGAACATTCAAGGCCAGGTTGGACAGGGCTCTCAGCAACCTGGTCTGGTGGAGGGTGTCCCTGCACAGTGCAGGGGGGTTGGACTAAATGACCTTTAAAGATCCCCTCCAACCCAAACCATTCTATGATTCTATTTGCCTGGATCTATTTGCTGTCCTTTTGTATAATTCAATTAGAAACGCTCGGGGAGGGGCCATATTTTAATCTGCATTTGTGCAGCATCCAGGACTGTGTGTTTCCTGGGCTATGACTGGGGCTATGGTGATACAGATAACAGCAAACTGAAATCACCCAGTAATTAATACTGGTCTGCTGCAATCTACCCAGTCATGGAAATGAATGGTACTTAAAGGCAACCAAAAGCATGCCCACAAACAAATGACACTGTAATTATAACCTGGTACCACTGCAGCTACAATACCCTCATTGCAAGGCAAGCGGTCGATTTTCCTGTACCAACACATTGGGTAAGAGCAATAAAAAAGGTGTGGGTGGAGCTACAGAGAGAACAGACCTGTGGGTTCCCACGGCTGATGACAGTCAGCCAGCAGGGATGAGCAGCTGAGCCACCAGGCACCCCCAGCCTGGGCCAAAATGCCAAAAGCAGAAGCAAGACAACACCTCAGGCCTCCTGCAGGGGACAGCGAAGGGAGTCTGGGGGGCACTGGCACACGGGAAGGATCACACTTACATAGGCTCCCACGATGCTGCTCTTGGCAGCCACGAAGATGAGGCAGATGAAGATGGCAGAGCCCAGCATGCCCACGGCACACACCAGCGGATCCGCCCGCTGCGTCTTCAGCCGGCACCACTTGGTCGCTCCCGCCCCCGTGATGACACCCAGGAAGCCAGTGAAGCACGTGATGGCCCCGAAGATCAAGCTAGGAAATTAAAAATTAAATAAATAAATAAATAAAAACAACAGGCAGGCTGGGGTTTTGTTTTGTTTTGGTTTTTTTTTTGAGTTTTTCCCCAAAGCGGGCGCGGCCGAATCGCTGGGGTGAGCTGCCCACCGGGAACTCGCGCGTCGGCTTCGAGGATTGAAAAAATGAGATTTAAAATTTTAAAAGCAATTTAAGCAGATTTTAAAAAAAAAAATCAGATTTAAAGTTTTAAAAGTATTTAAGTGGATTTTAAAAAAAATCAGAAATTAGAAGAGCTCCCCTGCTGAGTGCTGGTGGGTTTAGCTCTCTTCCCCTGTAATTCAGAAAAACCAAGCACATGAAACTCAGCCTCGTACACAGGAATTGATCCCTGGGCAAAGGGCTCACGCTGCTTCTTTGGGTGGAACTGAGCTTCCCACAGAGTTCCCTGTACAGCTAATTTTGCATGCACAGAACTAACTAATAACCTGCACATTGATCATGTAATGGGAAATCGTGGACAGAACAGGCACCAGGAAGCTTAAGGGAAGGGAAACCTAAATAAGACTCTTAAATACCACGATTTTCAACACACCTTGACTTTATAGCTCCTTTCAGACCACTTCAAAGAAGCGTTTTGCTGTTGGGTTACACACTTGAAATGTGTTAATTTCAATTTAAAGAGCCAGGAGCTGTCAAGGATTCTCTATATTGTACGTGCAGCACTTGGATTACAGAGTCTTTGGCAACTCCATTAGAGTAGCTCCAGGGCAGCTCAAAATGGAGGTGTCATCAAGGAGGGGAAAACTCTCTGTAAATAGCAGACTGGGGCTGTGTTTTTTGCTCACTGCATTTTTGCAGAGCAGCCTGAGCCTGCCTGCTGGACACTGGTTGATGGGACTCCAAACCACTCAGTAGTTTACTTGAGATGGGATTATTCAGCTAGAGCAAGAAGGTTTTCCTACTATTATTTTCCTTCACGAGCTAAAAAGCAAAAGAGCTGACAAAAGGCAGTTTTTCCTATCTTTTATTTACCTGGAGAAATGCTTTTATAGCATTTTCTGGTTTGTGCCATCATGCTGGGGCACAAAGTGAAAGATTACTTTTCATAGCTCATGTGCTGCAAGTGATATTACATAACCAGGACCGAAAACCCAAACCACTGCACAGCATCAAGCACTTCAGCCCAAAGTGTCCCAGATCCCTGTGACATTCTTCAGCACAACTCGGCAGGCACAGCAGTTTACAGAGCAATGAAACAGTGAAGTCCTGCCTCACACAGAAACAAAAGCCTCCAGGGTTAGTCCCTGCAGCTTTAGAGGAACAATTCCAACCTCCAAATTACAGCCACCGCTGGGGTTACCTGCTCTGTCACAGTTGGGTCTTAAGGAGCCACGTTCTCAGCTCTCCAAACATCCTCTGAGGCAAAGACAAAAGTCTCTTTTCTACCCTGCACCCCAGCCTGGGAACTAAGAGAGCTGAGGTCATCGCTTCTCCCTGCGTTTGACTTCATGCAATGAAGAAGAGAAATAAAACCTAGTTTACAATCCCAGCATTTCCTATCATTGTTGCAAGGGCCTGGAGGAAATGACAGACATTCTAGTGACTTGACTCTGTGGGACCTGCCTGTTTCCTCTGGTAAATAAGCCCCCACCCCCTTTCCCCTCTCTGAGTCTGCCTCTCACCTATCTTTGGTGCCGCAGGGCTGGGAGCTGCAGGTCTCTGCTGTCTTCTGCACCACCTGTGCCCTGTGCAGGTACAGAGGGATCCACATGCCAAGTGCCCCCGTGGCAAAGGAGACGGCCGAGGTGGCCAGGGATGAGAACACGTAGCTGCGGCTGCGGAGGCAAAGCCAAGGGAAGGTTTAGTGGGAAAAGGGAGAAAAGCAGGAGCCCCACATGGGAGCCAGGGCTTCACAAAACAGTGTTCCCCCACACCTGCCACCTCCCTTTGCCAAGGCAGGGATAACACAAGGTATAAAGCAGTGGAGAATAAGAAGCATGGAATATTCACAGATGATGCACTGGACTCTTCTGAGGCCATTTTTCACGGGACCATTTCAGAAGATAATCAGTACTTAGTCATGATGTGTGAATTACAGAGCTGTCACCCTAATGTCACTTGTTTAAATGGAAGACCTGTTTCGCTTCCCCCTCCCCATCCATGCCATCATGTGATTGCCACTTGCATAAACTACCAAAAGAAGTAACACAGAAATATTGACAAATTATCCATCATCGCTTCTCATAGTCCTTTGACACTGGATGACAATACCAGGAAGGCATTCCAGCCAGCAGTCCTAAAAATGAAGGACACCACAGTTTCCCATCAGAATTCCAATGTAACATTGAATTCACAAGTGCAAGTACTTGCACATTCACAGCCCAGCTTTCTGGAGGGAAGCACAGCTGCTTAAACACTCCTGAGCATGTGATCTTTTATGCACATATACAAGCACCCAAACACATTCAGTGCTCACAGATTCAGTCACAAGTGGTTGTGTAAACATATATTTAAACTTGCCATGTAGTGTAAGCTTTTGTGTATTTTGTCCTCTTATTTTTTTTCTGGCATTTAACTCTCTTTTTCCCCGTGAAGTAGCTCTTTTATGGAAGAAAAAGGATCTAAGTGTCTGAACAACAGTGCCACAACAATTAATACAGGAGCACAGCAATTTCTCCACTTCAAAAGGCTTGATCTGTGTGAAGTATGAGCCAAACAAAGCAGACTCTTTCTTAGATGTCAGTCTTGGAAAGGTTAGAGCAGAAGTTGGAATGCAGCATCATCACTGCAGTCAATACCTCATGTAACTGCCATTTTCTTTCCCAGGTCCACAGACTAAACTTCCTGCAACTCCCTGCATGTCATCAGTTCCAGTGCTAAATCCAGGCCACTGGATGTTCCAATTAAGCACTAGAGGCAAAGCATGGTTTTTACAAGTGCTCTTACTTTCTAATCAGTGCTTTCATGTCTCTCAGCCACGAGGTCCGAGCCTTCAGCTGCCCCCCGAGTTGTTCAGCATTTCCTCTTTTAGCAGCAGGAACAAATATCAAGATGAGTGTCCCTGTTATCATTCCCAGGAGTGGAGATACCTGCAAGAAAGGGGCAGGGAATTAGCACAGGAGTCCAGGAGGGTTTGCTTTGACTGGTCAGTGAGAAGCAGATTACATTGGCTTGGTTTCAGGGACTGTTCAAGTCAGAATCTGTGAGCACCCGAGGCATCCACTCCTTTCCTTCCTCCCTGTCATTCCCTGGACTCTTATCTCACTCTGGAAACATGCAGCTTTGACAATCCCTGATTAAGGCAGTCTGTTGTGTTAATAACTACAAAGATTCATCAAAATACTGGTTCTTAGTGATGTTGAGCTCTTTGGAAAGCTGCTCCCAGCTGGGCTGAGAGACTTTCTGGGTGAGTGCAGAAACCTTTTCAAGGCAAGGGTGAAGGATTTCTGGATGTAGGGAGCATTCTGGCTTTGAAAACCCTTGCTTGGCATGCCTCCTTCTTCCAGCCAACCCACAGTGGTTTCCCATTTTCAGGCATCTTCCTCAGATAACCTCAGTGTACAGCAGACCAAGAAACACTGAAAATTCAGGCCAGGAGGCAGGAAAAGGACACATTCAAGGGTTAGGCTTCCCAGTGTCCAATCCTTTCTCCCAAGCACTAGACAAAAATACAAAGATCCCACAGTGCTTTGCAAGCTACAAACACTATTCTTGTTTTGACACTGAAATTCCATTATTGATAGAATGGAAAACAGCTCCGTTAGGAAAATAGGAACATGGATTTTCACTGAACTATCATCCCATTTAGACATGCTGTTTTAAAAATAAATCCCTGTTCCAAAAAATATGCTTCCATTATTAACCTGAGAATGGCTTTTACACTTTGAGCAGTGTTTCATGTCCAAAGATGACAAACCCACAGTTCTGCTAGGAAAGAGAAGACAAAAGTATTTCAGAACTGGAAAGTCAGGAAAATCCCTCATCCAAGAATAAATGAAGGCTGATACAATTTCCTTATGACAGCTGAACACAAGGTAGCACTGGTAACAAAACCAGAATTGCTGCTATTTTTTAGGGACAGATAATTTCAAGTCTCCTTGATTTTTATCTAAAGGCTTAAACCCCCACCAGGACAACATCCACTGTCAATATCCATGGACACTCAGTAATGATCCCAGGAAACACCCACATTACTGTTGCATCCAGAGACAAAGCTGCCACTTGTCCACACATTTGTCCACACATTTGTCCACGTGTCCTTCTGTCTTCTTCAGCCCACTGAAGTACAGATTATTCCTGACCTCTCCTGCATTTGGAGCCCACAGGAGATCACAGAGGGAAGCATCACCTTGGGCAATCATTCACATCTTGCAAGAGGCACAATAATTGCCACAGGATGAAAAAACTACTTTACACTGATGTCTGGAAGCTTTCAGTGTGTGCTGTGTGGCTACAAAAACTGAGCAATGCTGCCCAAAGCAACCACCCCAGGCACGTGCAGCTCATCAGATTCTCAATGATTTTACACTCAGGGAATCATGCACCAGTGTGTCATTGACAGTGGAAATCATGACTCTGGAAGGGTACAGTCTTGCAGATAGCCTGGATTTCTCAGGATAACTGTGGAGACACCATCTGAAGAGAAAAATGCAGGTGAGGATCCCTTTGCACAAATTACCCACTTGGGTTTTATGGCCAGATTTGGGATTTACAAGAGCACTCTGATTCATCAACCTCCTTAGAGCCCCCTGAGCAGGAGGAGGGGCTTTGGGGAGCTCATTCCTTGTGCTGGCCTCTGCTCAAAAGTTAATTTTACCCTCAAGTATTTCTGCTGCTGAATGCTGTAGCCATCCTGCTGCTGTGAAGCTGTAGGACACTGCACTTTCCATTCCAGGTTCCCAGCTGGGAAATGCCCTCCCACCCTCACGGTGGTGTTCTGGCTTTGCTTCCCCTGGGCATGGCCTGTGTCACAGAGGGCACATTTTCTCAAGGTGGGAACCCATGGATTTCATCACCTGCTGGTATAAATGGTGTTGGCTTGAGCTCCAGGGGATTCATGAAGTGCCAGAGGCAGAGAATGCACCTCACGTGGGCTCGTGCCACCCTCACCACCAAAGGTCAGGAGCCAGTTCTGCTGGGCCACTTCCTCTCGGCTCTTTCAAGACATCTTTGTGTGCAGGATCTGTTTGTGAGCATGTGATTGGAGTGGATTATCTTTTCAGCACGTTTATCAGGGTCCCAAGAGGTTAAAATAGAAGGAAACCGACTGTCTCAGGGCAGAAAAACAAGCGGAAACTGGAACAAAGTGTTTTTTCCTCAAAGCAGGAAGCCATTCTCGGAGTTTCTTGACAGCAGGGGACTGAAAGACTGTGGAGTTGATTTAAGGCCAATGCCTCATCTTCCTATCCCCATCAAGGGATGATTGATGGGTGATTGATAATAAAGAGATTGGAAAATTCTTGCTCCCAGGCAGGGAAAACACCAAGTACCACAAGCCAAGCCCACACACCTTTCCCCTTTGCTTAGGGAGTGCATCTGCTATGCACTGAACATCCATGGCTGTAATTTCCAGTCCTTTACCTTCCAGATATAATAACAGGTCGAACAACTGTGTGATGGAGCTCTTCCTAACACAGATCAATCAATTAACTCTCATTAAGATGTGATTACCAGGGACTTACCCTCAAGGCCCAGTGCCAGTCTCCAGCAACCTGCTTCACACTGGACCCAGTGATGTATCCCAAGCCACTGCAAGAAATGCCAAGATGAGGGTTGGTCAGAGCTTTAGGAGTGGCACAGTCACAGCTGTTCTTAGACAAAGATAAAGAGAGGCACAACCAACTCTTGGGCTCTCTTCTCCTGCAGGAAGGAACATGGGGATTGAAGCAGATGGTGGCCAATATGTGACTCTTCCCAGCACTGCTGATCTAAAAATGCTCAAATCTGATGGAAATTTGGAACTTTATAGCTGACCTTTCAATCTACAGTGTATGGAAGCAAAGCCTCGAAAGGAATGTATTTCCCAGTGTAATTTCTACATCAGGCCTTCCCGTGTGCCAATATGAATATTAAACAATTTTATGTTCAAGCTCTCAGTTAAAAAGTGCCCTTCAAGGACACACCATATTCCATCATTTAATTTTTTTCTTGTCATTCAACAGCACTTGGTCCTAATTACCCAGGAAGAGGCCACTTCCCATAAGCCTGTAAGAAGAACAAAGAAGAACATGCAAGACAGTGGGGTGGGAGAAATCAAACCTGAAGCTGTGAAATCACATCTGGAGATTAAGAAGCAACAGGACCTTCACCCTAAGACAGGAGGTGGCTCAAAGACACTGAAGGTGAATGTAGCCACACTTTTCTCCACATGAGCTGAAGGAATGTGAATATCCCTTTTCAAAACTGCTGCATTTGTGGCTGAGATGGCCTTGGCTACAAGTTGCCAGGATTGGTGTGGGGCAGCTGAGCCCTCACCCGACTTTACTGAAGCCTGCTGAGCTTTGGGGTTTGCCAGCTGTAAGTACCCCAAAACTGAGCTTTTTTCACAGAGAGGCCCCAAAATCAAACTGTGGATCACCACAGAATCATGGAATAGTTTGGGTTGGAAGGGATCATAAAGACCATTGAGTTCCACCCCCTGCCATGGGCAGGGACACCTTCCACTAGCCCAGGTTGCTCCAGCCTGGCCTTGGACACTTCCAGGGATGGGGCAGCCACACCTTCTGTGCCAGGGCCTCCCCACCCTCACAGGGAGCAATTTCTTCCTAATATCCCATCTAACCCTGCCCTCTTTCAGTTTACAGCCTTGCCCTATCACTCCATGCCCCTGTAATCCATGTCACTGTTGGATATTGAGATATTTTAGTGCCAGAATCAGGTTCAACAGGATGAGCATTTGTGATTTCTTGCTAGCCATAGTTCACTGAATTCTCTGTGTGAATACTTGGAATCTTTGGTCCTCTTGGCAAAATATTCTTTTCATCAATTAAGGACCTGTTTCTCTCTTTTTCCTCAAGAGCAAAGGGATGTTTGTGAGTTTTGTCCCAGGGATGAGTGCTCTAACTTGTAAAATGCACCACCAGAAGTTTTTCTCTGAGTTTGGGACATGTTACCCGTGTATTCCCTGCTGCAATGAACCCCTGATGCCCCTTTTGCACAGGATGTTGTCCCACTCTGGGAACTGGAATGCAAAGTATGCAAACCCTCCCTGCCTACAACCTCACAATAGAGGGTCAGCCATTATTTTTAAAAAAATAAAAATAATGACAGATTCCCTCCTGTCCCAACAATCAGATACTGTGTTGGGCTGATAAGGAAACACAACTGAAAGAAACAGTCAGCTAAAATATTTTGATTCCATTTCCACCCCACTGCTGTAAAAAAAGAGGGGAAAAAAAAAAAAATCCTTCCCACTAATTCCCAAAAGTCACACACAAACCAGTAAGAGGGCCAGAAAAAGAATCTAATTCCTGCTACTAATTAGTCACAGCTCACAATATTTTCCTGTCTAAACCATTCCAACCAAAGACAAGAACTATCATCGTTAGCAACTTCAGATCTGCGGGAGTTTGTTTAAGTGAAAAGGCAAAACCAGGCCCAAGAATTCTGGTGCCACTTACCTGCCCAGAGGAATTGCAAAGTAGAAGACAGAGAGCATGAGGGTCCTCGTGTTTTTGGTGAACAGGTCTCCGATGATGGTCGGGGCAATGGTGGAGTAACTCGCCTCTCCGATGCCAACCAACCCCCGGGAGAGCACCAGGAGCCAGAAATACTGAGGAAACAAAATAAAACATTACCAGCTATCCCCTTGCCTTCTTTTTTTCTTAATTCAGGACAGACGACAGCAAAATCTGGGAAAACAGGGAAATACAAAGCCTCGTGACCAGAAAAAGATCCTCTTGTACCCATTTATTTTTTAAAGCCTCACACTCGTTTCATTTGTCTCCTGCTGGGAGGAAAGGGACTATAATTTTTGTGAAGATTTATAGGCATGAAAGAAAAGTAATAATAAAATGTTTACTCAGTGACACTCAAGAATACATTTTCAAAGAGGCAGAAGACCCTCAGTCTGTTCTCAGGATGCAGCTCAGCCTTGCTAAGCCCAAGTTTGGAAGGTTTGGGGAGGCAGGTGAGTTTAACAAACCCTGCTCTGAAATCCAGAAACAGCAACACCTGCTGAGGCCAATCCAATCCTCCCCAGTGTGCCAAGGGACAAGCTCTGACTGTGAAAGCCCAAAGGCGGGAAAGAGCTGAACCCCCAATCGCCCAAACAAATTTTTTCCTTCATTAAAAGCCACGGAATGAGGGAATCTTTCAAGGCTGCTAAGCACCCATCTCACTCCACTTGCCTGGAACAGCAGCAGACACCTCCCCTCACAGCAGGGAGGCAGAGTAAGAGGCACTGAACAGTCCTAAAAAGCCTCAGTCCCAGTCCCAGCTGCACAAAGAGGAGACCTGAGCTTCACTGGGAGCCCCAGGAACACCCCTGTGCTCCGTAAGCAGGACCTGCAGGTGAACGACTCAGAGCCACACAAGGCAAGGGAGGGATTGAGCTGCCCAGGGAATTCCAGGCCTTTCTGAGGAAAGCTCAATCCCACAGGATGAGGATATACTTTACATTCAGCACAACTCAGCCTAAAATGGACCAAAAGGAATTGTTCATCTAACAGATTTTTTTTTTCATGGCCTGTTTCCCTATTTCAGCAACACTTTTGTGAACTGCAAAGACCTGATTTTCAACCTGACCTTTCACTGCACCTGCAGTTTTCTGAGTGCTGCCCTGTGCAGGAATAAGGCACAATGCTTTGATGCCTAAATTCCTGATACATGAGCACAACCAAGTTCTCAGCCCATCCAAGCAGCTTGAGCTGCACCCAGGAGTAATTGCAGGGGCAGAAATTAAACAGTCAATGCAAAAAGTTGTAAGCACAGGGCAATCTGTTCCTATAAATGTAACCTCTACAAATCCTCAGCTTACTGTTGTTATCCTACAGATCATCTGTGAGAAGAACAGTAGGGATTTAAACTGAGAGAGGGGAGGTTTGGATTAGGTATTAGGAAGACATTCTTCCCCGTGAGGGTTGGGAGGCCCTGGCACAGGTTGCCCAGAGAAGCTGTGGCTGCCCCATCCCTGGGAGTGTCCAAGGCCAGGTTGGACGGGGCTTGGAGCAACCTGGGCTAGTGGGAGGTGTCCCTGCCCACGGCAGGGGGTGGAACTCAATGGTCTTTATGATCCCTTCCCACCCAAACCATTCCATGATTCTGTGCTTATGATACGTCCTTAAACATGGAAGTGCTTTGAGAATAATGAGCAATTACTGATTCTCCTTCTTCAGATGGGAAAAAGCTGAGTGAAGGGAAGTGCCTGACTGTGCCCTACAGCAAAGCCAAGCCAGAGTCCAGCCCTCCCTCACAAACATGGACAGTGCCATGCAGACACCAACCCACGTGCCTGGGTCATAAATACATCCAGCAGCAGCCACAAATCTGCCACTGAGGTGTGTGCATTGTTCTCCTCACTGTAATCCCCTGGCTGAAAAGAATTCTTTCAGGATTCCTACAGTCACACAAAACAAATACTTGTGTGCACTCTTCACTTCCTCATATTTTGGTGTGAATTGTGCCCCAGTCCCCATTTTCTGAGGGAACACAAGTTCCTTGTTTGCTGGCAGGGCGTGTGCAATGCTGCTCACACATCTCCCACACCTGACACACACGTGGGTGGAACAGAAAGGGGAATACTGTGACTCAGATTAATTTAATTTATGCCAGTTCCCCAACACTCAGCCACCCCAGTGCAGAAATATGCTGACAGTGATTGGTGCACAGGTAACCAATGCATTTGGGATGAGTAGCAGTACTTATTGCATGCTGAAAGGCTTAGTCATGCAGAATTAGAAAGCAGGGAACTGGAGGCTGACTGTGGTTTCTAAAGAGGTTCAGATGTGCATCACAGGGAGGGTGACAGTCACCTGCCAGGCCTGGGATGAGTATGGACAGTGCTCCTTACACCTGCAGAATGATAGGTTTGGAAATGCACTAGATGTTCCTCAAATTTGAAATACCTACAGAAAAATGACACCATTTTGTGCTCACCAGCCAGCATCACTCCCAGGGAATGCACTGGACAGGAATTTCCTCCAAACAGTGTCGTTAGAAGGCTTCTCTTACAATCCTTGTGTAAAGCAGGAAAACTGTACAAAGGATTCCTTTTGTGGTAAAAGAGTGACTCGGTTTCATCAACACCATGGAATCAGATGCCCAATACAATGAAATAATCTGCAACAAGTAAGACATTCACTCCTCTCTCCCAGTTCCTCCTCAAATCCTCCTCCTCCTCCCTGGCTTATTCCATGCTGACACACTGCACATATCTGTTTAATATTTAAACTATGTTCTCTGCAGCAGTGGTATCCAAATTTAAGTCATGAGATTCCGACTGCAGTTGGGAATTAAAGCAGTCTTCAAAAGCACAGTCCACATAAAGACCTCAGTGGTATTGCCCTTCTGAGATCAGATATTCAGGGCTATGGCCTGTGCAGCCATTCAGGTGTGACAACCAGGGAAAACATACAAAAACCTGAAACAATTTAGGGAATTCTTCTGCCTGGTTTTGGAGCTCTAGATCTGGGATTAAAGAGCTAATACCTCTTCTTATCCAGTTGTTCAGGATCTTTACCTAACAATCACCCTGTTGGAACCCACACAATAAAAGTCAGCAGTAATTTGTTACAGTGAGATGAGACCCCCTCCATCTTCCATCCCTAGTCAGGCACTCAAAACTTATATTTTAGTTGTCTCTGAAGGCAGAGCTGGGGAGCCCCCTGGGACAAAAACTGGTCCTTTCCATGAGGGGCCTTGTCTTTTTGCTTTTCATACAGGAAGAAAAAAAACCACAAACAACAAAATGACTCCAAAATTCTTATGGTGCTGCTCACTTGGACCACGGGAACACCACAAACCGCTTAGAAACTGGCCCTGAAACCACCACGTGTGCCAGACAGACAACTGCTATTTTTGTGTGCATCTATGCACATACATCCATAGGAACATCCCCCTTCCTCTCCAAGTGGATGTGGACATGACAACCAGCACAAACAAATGGCAAAGGCAGATGTGACACATGCAGAGGAAGCTCCGTTCTCCTCCACAGCCGTGCCAGGACACCTCCACCATTTCCTCAGCACTGGATTTTTCCCCCAACTGCTCATCCCTCCCTGTCTGACCCCAGGGTTCTCAGCAGTTTAGTGACACCAAAAGGGCTGACACCAGCCCAATTCTCTCTGCAGTATCTCTGTGCTGAAAAGCAGAACAGGCAGCTCAGGCTTTAACTGAATTTCACTGTTCCCCGAGCAGAAATTGATATATATTGAAGAAGCTTGTTCCTGTCTATATGACTTGAGAACTCTTCTGTAATTTGTTTATCAGTGCAAATAGGTCTCTGGCAGGAAAATTGGAAATATCTGAGTCAGCTTTCAGGACCAGAGCTAATTTCTTCCTTGCAGGTTAAGCCCAGCAACCTCAACACTTCACATGAAGTGCTTGAAACCGAAGTTTTTTTGAAACAAAGAGCTATGACAGCAAACAATTTATTTATGTCTTTAATTTTGGTTAGCAGTCATGTCAGAGATGTCTGCACCTCCACGAGAGCTGTCAGCATCTCCTGGTTTGGAGAGATGCAATGGGATTTTTGGAATGACTTCATGGCATCAATCCCCCTCCCTGCTCTGAGGCACCAGCCTGGATGGGACCCCTGGGAAGGGGTTATTACAGGGACACCTGAGCCATACAATGTGACTGGTGGCAACTCAGGATGCAAAAGTGCTCCCAGTCCTTCTCTCCAGCTTGCCTGTGCCACAAAAGGGCTGGTGAGACACCAGCCAGGGAAGATTCCAATATACAATAAACCATCCACATACATGGACAGAACAGAGGCTGCAGAGACCCAGAACTGCCACAGCCTTCCTGGGAATTTCCCTTCAAGGAATGACATCACCCGAAACCAGAGCAGGGAGAAAGCACTCACACCTATGAATGTGAGGCACAAAAGGTCAGTGGACCTGCTTTTCTTCCCATCTCCTAAATATGTGGAAGGAAAAATACCCTCTAACCATAAAGCTGAAGAATTTACTCCTTTGTCATTTGAAGACCAACAACCCAAACAAAAAACAAACACAATCTCCCAGATCAGACATGAGTTTTGGAAGGGATACAAATCCTTATGCCCCGGGGAATGTGCTGATCAAGAATAGGAATACTCCACTCACTAACTTCTAAATTTCTTAAGTTATCAGCAGACTGTAGGGAACAACAGTGACAGATCACGGGCTCAGAAGGACCTGGTCCCATCACTGTCACCACACACGAGAAGTTATGGGTGTGACACAGTCCTTCCAGAATTCACACCTGAAAAAAAGCTTGCATGATTGGAGTTAAATATTTATGATGCAGAATCACAGAATCATTTAGGTTGGAAAAGACCTCTAAGAACATCAAGTCCAAGGTAGTCCATGTATTTTCTCTAGAATGTATGTTATGGTTTGTATCTCACACTGGCTCAATCTCACACACACATAAATGTTTGATGGCCTAGGACACATGACTGGCTTTAATCATGTTTGGTGAAACCTCCTAATTATACATTTATTCTGGCTGTATAGACCATTGAGTGAGTAATACATGTTTTAATAAGTCTAATTACAGCTTGAAGTTCCTTCTTTTTTAATTAGTTAACAAAAGGAGTTAAGCCCCAGTTCTTTAAAAGATTAGCTG